TTACAAGCTCTACAATACGGTACTGTTTTGGTTTTGATTGTCTCCATATTGGGCAACAGAAAGAGGAAATACTTTGATTCTAGTCTTTTAAACAAAGATAGAGTAGATAAACTACAGTTTCAATCACTCTAGTAACTGCCATAGATGAAAGAGATACAATCGCATATATCATGGCACTATAGCATGTCCTATGTGCACACATAACCAATCCTCAAATATGTGATCAGTGTTCTCTCTTGGCAGGAATAATCATAGAGCCTTCACCACTACTAGCACAATTACTAGTAATGTAAACTATATAGATATACCCTTATGCTATGATGCACATTGTGTTTGAGTCTATATAGATGTTTGTTATAGCCTGCATTTGAGTGTGCATGAAGCCGCAGGTGTGTAGTGCCACCTAGGGTTACATAGATGCCCACTGGGAAGCATTAAAGCCTCATTAGCAGATGGTCAGAGTGGCTGTGTGCAGCAATCTAGTGTCTAACCCTAAAATTCCTAATGGAGGAGAACCCTAACCCTGGGTTTTTAGGCGGAGAATGTATGTGGCGCCTATCTCAACATGAATGGCTGATTAGCGGAGTTTCAAAATATTTTCCCACAGGCATCAATTGAGGTGTCGCGAGTTGGCAGGAAGGTCACCCTATAAGAAATGATTTCCTCGTTCCTCATCAATCGTAATTTTGGGCATGGGAAGGGAATGGCTGACTACATTAGCACGTAGCTTAGACATGCCGGACATGTGGACCTTGACAATGCAGTGGTTCTGCTTTACACGTTGTTGTATGCTATCCGGGAATCGGATGATTGATAGGTGAAAAGGGGTGAGGGGTTGGGCGATGTTGATTCCCTGATGCTGCCGCAAAGCGTGTGGGGTTTCCTGCTTTTCCAACTTGGGTGGAGAGGGCCATGGCTGGCAGGTCTGATTGATGAGAATGAATTTTTCATTGGCATTGAATCAAACTGCCATTTGTTATTTGCTCTTTGGTATCTGTGCCATCTGAATAGGAGTAACATATACTCCTATGTAGTACAGAAATACTGCATGTCTTAGTGTCAAAAGCACTGCAACAACACATCACAATTTTCTGAGTGATTCACCCTATTGGTGTATGCAATTTTAGTGTATGCAATTTGGATATTAAAATATACTAGTATACCTGTTATGAACTGTTTACAGCCACTGCAGAAGTACATTAGCAGATGTGAGACAATAGTGTCCTTCACACAGTGCAGATGATTTATAAGCACTGATGTATATTATGTGCTATAACTGCACCACTTTCATCCAATCACAATATGCAGGACAATGTGAATCAATATTTTCTCACACATACAAACTATATCTGATAAATATTTCAGATGTATTTGACCTCTGTGCCCAGCTAGGAAAGCCCCATGGTAATCAACATTGCTGTGCCCAAGCCTTGAATAGAGTGAAAATATTGGCTGACTATATCATAGATGTAGTCTTATCCATGTTACATGACAGTCACTCCTTTCCTATCTTGAGCAGGGCTGATTCTCTAGCATTACAGGCTTCCTCTCAAGCTTAGGCAATTTACAGGTGAGAGTTTACTCATTACAGCCTATTGCTGATTTTTTGAGTTTGCCCAGGAAGACATTGATATTTGCAAGTGTCATGGCATAAAATGGATCAGATAGACAATGAACAAGCCCTTCAATGAATAGCCTGATCATACACTTTAGATTGATGATATTTCAGATGCTTACACTATGCACTATCTTCAAATGGCAACAGGGCAATGTTCAGCAGAGTGATAATTATACTAGGCTTCCATTATTATCTGTATACTCTATCTTGTGTAACCATATTACCTGATCAGATTGCTAAATATAGTGCAACAGCCACATCTTAGCTGTAATACTGCACTTATGATAGTCTAAGCTGCTCCTAGGTTCAGTTAACAAATATATAGACAGCACCATTGTATAGAGATCAAAATTCTGAACCTGGTAGTATACAACAGTAGGGGGTGAGGTAATGATGTCATCAGGTCATGTGCCATGGGCGCTTTTTTCCGATTGTAGCACTAATAGGATTTTGTGTTGTGCATAGTGGCAGCAAAGGTGCCCACATCCAAGTCATTTTTGGATAGATGGATTCTGCTCATCCATAGCTTCCTGGTAATATATATTTTATGAGATATGGACCAGTAGGAGGCAAGATATTAAGACATTTGTAGTGGGAACCAAACAAGACCACAGTTGGCAGCAGGGGAACGCAGAGCATGGCTCCCCTGCCACACAATGTGGTCTTGTTTGTTCTCAGCCACAGCTGCAACTCATTTTGCCCCCTGTTGGCACATTTTGCATCACACTATGGGACAATGATATACCACTAGAAAGGTCTCTCCAATGTGCATCTAATGGTGGTGTGATCATGTTATTATATGCAATATACAGGCTTTAATGCCCCAAATGCTGATTGTGGCTGAAGGTCATTACCACATTGTATGCACAACTGATAGCTTTCATGCTAGCTATTATATATAGTCAGTCTCCTCATTACATCCTAACATACTCTCATTAAATAGGGCAGAAGATTGTGCTAGCAAGGCATTATATAAACTGCACATTGATCCCCATTAGTGACAGATTGGGACACAAAGTCACTTATGGTGAATTGTTTGGCTTGTAGTACCCACAGATGTGCTCTGACCACTATACAAACACCACCATTGCATTCCCCTCATCAACAGCTTTCTGGTGATATATAATAGTAGTATGTTACCACTATACAATCACCTATTAACAAGCATATTAGGTTGAGCTGTGGCTGAAAACAAACAAAGCCAAAGCTAGTGGCACGACGACGCTAATCCGCGTCGGCGTGCCATTTGCTTTGGCTTTGTTTGGCTCCAAACAGAGAAGCATCAATATCTCAGCTCCCACTAGTCCAAATGGGACATATTATATATCATCAGGAAGCTATTGATAAGGTGAATCCATCTGTGCAAAGAGATAAAGGATCTGGTTCCATTATGATAAGATAACAGCTAGATTAATTCCCATTAGTGCCACAATTGGCAATGAGTGCTAGTACCATAGTGTATATTCACCAAATGGTCAAGTGTCATATACCACTGGACTCAGGATATTGATCTCTATTCAATGGTGATGGTATAGATCTAGTGTACCCACACAATAGATGCTATACCTCAATATAATACCAGCAAGAGGTAAGCACAGATAGTAGGGTTTATATCTCTGTCATTTTGGATGGTATATATATGATTGTTTCCATTGTAGACCCAGCACATTAAAAGGAACATAATGTACTAATAATCGATACCTGAACATGATATTGGGCTTCAAACATCACAAACATAGCATTTGCCTACAAAGTGGTGCAAAATGTACCAAATCGTGTTTTATGCCATACTGTGCTTACCAATAAATGGTGATATGTATATCATTCGAAAGTGTGTGCTGAGCTCTACACAATGGTGCTGGTTTTGGAGGGTCATATGTTGTCAATGGTCCATAAATTGATCATGAATGTGGTTTAAAGAAGGCTTCACAGGGCTTGATCCTGTGGGCGAATAAGCGCCCTAAAGGCAATTTGGTGAAGTCCGATGGGCGCTAGTAGTTCACGCTGGGTCAGCGCGATCTACTAGCGCCCGTGGTACTTAAAAACATTTTCTGAAAAGCAGCCGCTTTTTGGCAGTATTTCCCCCATTGTTTCACCAGTTTTTATCCATATAGCACATATTATATATCATCAGAAAGCTCTTCACAAGGTCTACAACGTGGTGCCATTACATTTGATATTGTTCTGGAATTGGGACTTAGGAACAAGCAATACTTCAATTGTAGTCTTTCAATCCAAATAAGGAGTGCAGTGCCCCAATGACTTCAGTGACTGTCAATGGTAGATGAGCTACAAGAACAGATATGATGCTCTATGTCAGTATATACTATCTCAGCTGATCACTGACTAACCTTTCTTAGTAGCATATGGCATATAAATACTACCACCAGATCATAGCTCTAAGAGGAAACCAAGGGTATAGTACTTTGACGACACTATACCATGTGTCAAGGGTCTGTTTAATACAGTACATAGCCTATAGGCATAGTGGACAGTGAGCAGCACATGTGCTGTGCAACCTAGGGTTACACAAGCGCCCAGGGAGAGGCTTTACATGTGGTAAGCATTGTAATTAGAACTGATCTAAGGCTAACCCTAAGCTGTGCTATTGGGAGCCAACCCTAACCCTGTAAACATTACAAAATTTTGTATGTGGCGCCTAACAGAAAGCTAATGATGGGTAAGTAATTCTTTCCCACGGGGTCGGATTGGCGTCACGCAAGTTGGCAGGAAGCTCACCCCATAAGAAACGATTTCTTCGTTCCTCATCAATCGTAATCTGCACTGTGTGAAGGACACTATTGTCTCGCATCTGCTAATGTACTTCTGCAGTGGCTGTAAACAGTTCATAACAGGTATACTAGTATATTTTAATATCCAAATTGCATACACTAAAATTGCATACACCAATAGGGTGAATCACTCAGAAAATTGTGATGTGTTGTTGCAGTGCTTTTGACACTAAGACATGCAGTATTTCTGTACTACATAGGAGTATATGTTACTCCTATTTAGATAGCACAGATACCAAAGAGCAAATAACAAATGGCAGTTTGATTCAATGTCATTAAAAATTCATTCTCATCAATCAGACCTGCCAGCCATGGCCCTCTCCACCCAAGTATCACAGATGGGGTCACTTTCAGACTTTTACTCCTTCATGGTAACCATATTGTCTGATATCAGCAGATTCTGATCATAGTCTTCCTTGGTCATGCAGAGCAAAAGCTTCTGGATACAAGCTGGGCACATACTGCACAAGCAGACTCATGGAAGTCAGAAATATCTGTGGCAAAGCCTTGGATAATATTCTCTATCAAATCTGAGGGGGGTGGTGGAACTGTGATCAGTGTCAGAAGCATGGGCATCCTCAAAGAAAGACAAGGCTGATCTGGATAAGTCTGACAAACCTGAGTTTGATAATCGGGGCTGTACAGACAAAAATGGAAATTGTAAAGCCTGGTTCCCCAGAGAGACACACCCAGAGACTGTGGTAGACCCAGGCACTGGTGCACTGATCATGAAGAAAAGAGAGGCCTGGATCAACAACATCACCCATGCGGTCACCTATCTCATGCATGGGAACACTGATGTCACTTCTCTGCTGTCGGGCACTGCCATTAAATCTGTCATAGCCTATGTTGCTGATTACATAACTAAAACCCCACTGAAAACCCATGTGATGTTCCAGTCTATTCAGCAGGTGTTTGAGCGCAATGTGGAGCTGTTGGGCAGTCAGAAGTCTACCAAAGAGAAGGCTCGGTCACTGATTACCAAGATAGTGAACTCACTCACTGCATGCTCTGAAATTGGTGGACCCATGGCAGCCATATATCTGCTCAAGCATCCAGACCACTACAAGAGCCACAAATTCCGCACATGTTTCTGGAGAGGATATGTGTATGAGGTGATGCGTGCATGGGAGGACTCTGCCAAGATTGCGGAGGAAGGGACCACCAAAGTCATGCTCGGACTTTCAGGAACATCCAAGCGGATCATAGCACTGTCACCTGTGCAGGACTATATATGGCGGCCCACTGAGTATGAGCACATGTCACTATATGACTGGGTCAGACTGGCAGACAAGCAGCGGATCAAGCACCGTAAAAAGGGCCCCAAGAAATCTGAAGAGGCTATTAATGAGCATGCAGATGTGGACTCGGAGTTGGAGGACAACTATGATATCAGTGATGCAGAATTGAAGGGTGCTGGAGTCAATGAAGAGGAAGAAGAATCAGAGGATGAACTCCTGCTTACAAAAACATCAAACCAGAAGCTTGAAGCTGATAGCGCACCTAAGCCAAAGAAATCCAGGTCAAAATATGTGCAGTTCCATGAGAATCATCCACAGTATGACACCCATCATGTGAAGCTGCTGGATGAGTCTGAGGCATATGTCCCCAACTTCATTGGTGGTTCACTTCCCAGGAGAGATGCAGGCAACCGTGAACAATATTGCATGACCATGCTCACACTCTTCAAGCCTTGGCGCACTGGGCAGGATCTGAGACCAAGCCAGGATGTGCTCTGGGATGATGTGTTCAATGGCTATTCATTCACAGAGCGGCAGCTGGAGGTCATGAAATTCTTCCATATCAAATATGAGTGCAATGATGCCAGGGACGACTTTTCTGCAGCTCGCAAAAAGGGAGGAAAGACTGGTCCTTCACCATTCAACATGGATAATGCCACCCTGGATGACCTGGACACTCAGTATTATAATGATGATGGAGAACTCAACATCAGCGAGATTGAGGAGATGGTGCTGCGGACCAATGACTGGACAGAGCTGAGCAATGCAGAAATAAGCAGACACACACAGATGCTGCAGGCCGAACAAATCATCCAGGCTTCAGGCTGGCTAGACCCCATGAAACAGAAGAATACCTCTGAACTGCCATCAAAGTTCAACAGCAAGGAAGATATTGAGCTCCACAGACTGGAAGAATGTGCTTGCTGCCAACCTGGGCATCTCTGGCATCCAGTATCTCTTGGTGCGAGTACACTGCCAGTCAATGATGAAGTCAATGAGGTCAAGGTCATTGACAGGTCATACTATATGAGCAAAGCATTCAAGGCACAGGACCAGGAGGCTCAAAATATTGCATGCACCCCCAGACTCACTGGAATAATGGCAGGACTGACAGGAATAATACTGGGGCTGAGTGTCTTCAGACACCTTCAGCACTTCACGCACAAGAGCATAGATGTCAGTACCCACTGGGCCATTGGGATATGTGACTGGATCCTGAGCATGGAGAATATCCCTGATTGACTGCCTAATGGTGATTGTGTAGCTGACTATGTCATCAGAATTGCCATTAAAGTGACCAGTAAGCTTTGACAGTAATGCATTCTGCTCAGGTACCACTCTCCGCCACTGTTGCTTACACTCTGTATAAACTGACAGCAAAATAGTCAAAATACTGTCATAAGCACAGCTGTAGTTGGCATTGTCCCACTTGAACTCAATGAAATTGACTTCATCCACATCAGGATATAGAGGCCATAGTGCTTCTATAGATCCTCATGATCTTAGACACAAGGTTTGATGCATACTCCCCAGCAGACACCCATCCCTTCTCCACGTCTTACACTTCATCACCAGCCTCCGCCTCCCCAGGTGTGTGTACACTTGGGCATCTTATGTACTGCGTAGCTATCCTCAGCTCCATCCTGGTCAACATGCTCCTATTGTGCAGTAGGATAGCCTGCTCTTCTCGTACTGGATCTCAAGTGGTTCCCCTGTGATTCTACCAGAGATGTAATAGGTGCTGACTGCATGGGTTCTTAGTCACGTCTATTGCACCCTTTGTGGTCATCCTCGCCTGGGCCAACTCAACCACTGTTGGACACACAAAATGTCCCAACCTTATATCCAACATCTGCTGCATCACAGGTCTCACCATGAATCTAATTTTCATGATTGGGTATGTGGTAGGCAATGTAGTCGGCCCTTCAGCCCATGATGCCCAAACAATGCCACAGCTGGCCCTCCTTTCTCACACCTGCACATGCATCAACCTTACTGACCAGTGTGCCATGTACACAGACATCCCGCTTCTTCAATCATAAAGCCCGCATCATGGTTATCACACTCATATTCATATTGTCATCTGGCCTTGCCATTATACATTTGCCCTACTGCTTAGTTAGCTGAGTGCTTTTCTGGGAAATGTATGTCATTGTGGAGCTCATCCAGTCCCCCACACTTGTGACACATGTTCTCCCAAGACAAAGACGCACATGTTGGGAGTAGGAGCAGTGCAGAGACCACCTGTTCCAAGTCTGGTACCTTTTCTCCCAGTACTGCGGGTGCAAATGTGGCACATTCATGTGTGGATCAGAAGCCCATATACATGCCCGCATGAGCTGTACTCCAGCTGCTATTGATTGACACCCACCCACGCCTTGAAGCTGGTCTGTGATGGCAGCTTGCTGCAGATATGCTTTTCAGAAAACATCGACACTCTCAAGTGGCATGCACCCTGTGCAGGGAGCTATCAGAGAACCTTGACACTAATATTCTGCAGTGTGCACATCCCACCATCCTTTGGAAATGGGCTGATATGCTTGGAGTGTTCACCACTTAGTACAACCATGGGAGGGATGGGCACTGGATGTTGTTGTTGTGTCTGGCAGACATGGCATGTTTGTACCCACTATGCAGTGCACTCATTGCATTCAAGCGATGCTGCAAGATCCGGACCTTGCACCTGGTACAAGCATCAAGCAGTGGATACTAGGAATCCTGATGTTTCATTTCAACTTTGTACATGGGCTTGTGCTGGTGATGAGCCAGCCAAGGACAGCAACAAGTTCAAGGATTGGTTTGATGTCCATGGGTTCATTCACGACAGCACAAGTGGTCCCAAGTTGCATGCACACTATGGCTTCTGGCCTGGCTGCTCCCTCTGCTTTGCAGTTACCAGCTACCACTCTGTACTCCCCTTGGACATCACAGAAGCAACTCACCTGCTTCCCCAACCAGATCTTGGACCCGTAGGGAAATGCTGCCACCACATTCTGCAGCACCAGCATTATTCTATTTGCCTAAGGGTAATGCTGCTTTTACTTTGTCAGATTCACCTGCTTTCTCAATCCCCTCTGATGTACCTTCTGCGATTGGCGAACATCCAGAAAATTCTTTAACACCTAACGAGGATACATACTGAAGCCTGGAGCCACTGCATGTGCAGGAATAGTCCAGAGGTTGGTCCAATGCTTTGAGTACCCACTGGGTGGAAGACCGGCACACCACCTACAACGGTGTAAAGGTGAGAGAAAACACTGAAGCGTTGAGAGGAAGGCTTACCAGGGACCAGGCAAACCAAAGGCAGAGGAGTCTTGGCCATGGAATGCGAAAAATGAGAGCTAGAATTAGAGAAAGACTTTAGTAGACATGACAGAATCAGCAAAAGAAACATTGACAACCTGCCTGCAACACACCGCCCACAACTGCAACAAGTTGAGCATGCAGGTGTGCTCAACTTGTTGCCTGTCCCTCTATGCTCCCGCTCTCCACCTCCTCTTCTAACCTCCCTGCTGTTGCGGAGTTATGGGCAGTCCAGAAGGTGATCCTTGGGCTCAATGAGAAGTGCTCTCCAGAGATGCCCAAATGGAATGACTTCACACCTACAGCCAGATAGCTTGGGAACACAGCCATCTGTGTAAACCAATCAAACACACTGAGTGGTGCTCAACCCAGGCATATCTACCAGGTTCCCTGTTTCCTTAGTCCATGATGAGCTGTCACAGCCCATGCTTTGCCTACATGTCAGCTGCCTGCATTGGATTGCAATGATTTGGACTTACCCTTTTGAGACGCCAAAGGACCACCATCCGCCCCTGAAGATGGGGCATTGGCTCAGTCCCAGTATTCAGAGTCTATGGGCTCGGGAAAGAAGCGTAGCTTGCAGGCTGTAAATCAGGTGAGACCTCCTGCAAGAGTTTGAAAGCCAGCTGTATGACAGATCTCCCTAACAAGTTCATGAGCAACTCTGTAGTGGTGAGGACAAGACCATCCGTAGCTATGGAAGTCAGCAAAACATCAGATGGGTGGTTGTTTAAGCACTTTTGTAAAGGAAATCACACAATGCCACTCCTTTTGGGAACACCAGTGTTACCTTGTCAGAAAGTTTGCCAAGGCATACTTTCCCTGTGCATCAAAGGCACATGGGGTGATATTTCTACTCAATGGGGCTGCTCACTGTAAATTGATCATACTCTGGGAAAGTACACTGAGGGTCCCAGTGAGTTTGCAACTCCCAGCCAGGCCCAGGATTTGGCCACTGAGATGTATGAAAGTCCAGGCTGGGTATTTGTTGAAGTAGAAGGTGATTGGCTCATCAAGGAGGTCTGGCAGTGTCCAGTCAGTGTCAAGCACATTCTAGCCAAATTTAGGGATAGGTCAGTTACCACTGGGTGTTGTGGTTGATGAGCCTGGGTACATGCAGACGTGCACAGACACCACTGCACACAACCATCCCGTGCAGCTAATGCATGAATTCACTGACTTTGCCGTCACTGAAGGAGAGTGGAGGTGCCTTTGTTGGAGCTCAACTGCCTGCTGCATGATGAGGTCTTCAGTGGTGAAAAGGCTTTCTTCAGAGCTAGAGGTTGATTCATCTGTGCGGTTATGGGCTGGAAAATATCATTTGTGCCACCCATGGCACTGCAGGCCTAAAAACTGCTTACATTGTGCTTGCGGCACCATTTGCACAGACTGTCCTTGGTTCATGAATGCTGCCACCCCACTCTCCAGCACCCAATGGAGACGGCTGAAGTAGGAAGGGTTGTTGAACTTGATAGACCAGATGGTTTGGATATTGTTCTTGGTATCTAGTACAGTAAGGTCTAAGAAAATGTAAATCAAGTATTCTTGTTGTCAATGAGATTTATTGTGCAGTCAACAGAACAATTTGCAGACAATCTAGGGTACTTAGATAGTATCCTGCTTATGCTTACATTCTATGTGCATTTGAAAGGATTTGTGGCTTGCTGCTTCTTTGGTTGTCACCGGCATGGTTGCTTTCCTCTGACTGCGTGTGTTGGAACAATGCCGGACCCTCGCTTGTACCATGTTGTTATCATTTCATACCTTACGGGTGCTCTCTCCATGTCCTTCTACTCCCCATTCACCCTCAATCTCATGCTTGTGTCGCTATGGCCTGTTTCTGGTGCAGCAAGATTTCCACATGCTGCAACCAGTCTCTGAGAGAGATGATGGCCGATTGTGCACACAATCACGGTGGGGTGTGTAGAAGCAGACGATGCGGCCTACGCACATCGGTTGCAAACAACGAGAGCTGTGAGAGAGAGGGACTGAACGATGCATGGGGTTGTTGGTTGCCATCATGGAAGAAGCCTTGGGCATTCCTCATAGCTACATGGGAGATTTGTTGTCTCCATTGATGGACTGAAGATCACATGGAAGACCAATGAACTCTCCAAATGGTTCAATAGCTACTCCTCACTCGACTGACTGTGCCTTGTCCCGCTTGTAGAGCCATGGAGCTCATGGGGCTAACAGCTGTGAACACAAGCACTGGAGTATGCTGGGCCTTGCAAGAAATGGATGGTGGTCTAGTTGTGGTATGTGGTATGGGTGTATGTAAAGACGCACCCAAGGGACAGATACGACTGTTTCAGTGTGCATGGTCCATCCCCTGTGAGTGGCCCTGTGCAATATCAACAGTCTCCTCCTGCTCATACATCAAGTGTTCCACCATCCCCACATGTTTACACCCCAGCAGCGTAGAAACCTGGTGCCAACTGCTGATGGTAAGCCTGAAGCCCAGGTACTATTCAGTCCACATCTTCATGGGCTTTGAGATATTGTTGGCATTGAAAGCCTTTTTGTGTTTGATGAAGAGGCTATCCTGGTACATGGTCTGGATTTCTTGATCATTGGGGAAGAGGATGTTGGCACAGCTACCATACCTCCTTGCAAATGAGGGTGGTTACAAGGGAAATGTTGACAGAGTGGGTGATATGGGTGAACTGAGCATATAATGGTTGCATTGGCAGAGAGCTACCTTGGGCCTTTCTTGGAGAAGTCTTTGGCATGGCATGAGGTGCTCTTTTGGTACCAGGTGAATTTTTGCACTGTCTGAACCTTTCTGACTGTTACTCCATACCAGGAGGTCAATCATTGCCATGGGAGGAATCAGCTTGCTCAAGATTTGTATCTTCCGCTGCACTCACCACTTTGTGTGGTCCAAGAGGCCCTGCAACATGTCCTGGGTGCTTAATGCCCTGCAAGATATAAACACAACAGTGGTGTTGCATTCTATGTTCATGGACTGCAGTTCAGGTGTGAACACACTATTAAACCGCTTGTTCAAGAGCATCAGCACATGCAGATCACAGCGGGGGACACCACTACCTCCTCCTTCATGGAGCCAGCAGACCAAACGAGGTTGGGTGACAGCATAAGGTTGCCAGTGTCATTGCAACACTTGTTATATTACAGTGATGTGCTCCCAGAGATTGCTATGCCACATATATAATACTGCACAAGGATATGAGCCCACCTATCGTCCCAACCGCATGAGGGACTCAGTGTATACTGCATCTTGGATGAGTGTGAGGATCTTTGTCTGCAGGGACTTGAGTGCCGTCTCCACAATGTCCTCTGCCTGGGTGGTGTGCAAATGGGTGGAGGCAGCAGCCCTATGTAGATTTCAACTTCACAGTGGTGCATTTTCTCTGACAAAGCAGTCAGACACTGTCCTTATGTGACTTGTGTCTGCATTGCTGAAGGATGTGGATTACTTGCCGATGGCTAAACCTGTTGCAATTAACCACTCGGGGATACGCCGCGGCTGCGCGCATCTTTTAGGTGCTGCTGGCTGCTGGTAGTCCTCATTGAAGGCCGTGATCCTGGTCCTTACGGACTGGGAGAGCTCATGTACACTGTAGAAGCATTGAGATTCTACAGCGACATACCTTAAGCTTATAGATGGTATGCCGGTTGCTGCACGGAATCTCGAATTGTGAGAAGTACTTCCCCACTGTCCTATACTACCCTCAGTATGAAGCTGGTGTGAGTGTTTGGTATCCACACTGAATCCTTACAGCTGCTGTTCACCACACAACTTTTTCATACTCTCATCCACAAAGTCTGGATCAGGGGAAATCACTTCAATGACACTCACATTGGCAAATTATTCAGCAACTCAGTGGATTTAGGACATCCTATGCACATCATCCTCATCACACTCCTTCAATCTGAGGGCTTGCATTGCTGAGTACTTCTGAATGGTCAAGATGTATAAGCCATACCCAGTATTTCTGGATGTTACTGCTGCATGCCTACCGCTGATATTTTACACAGGCTTTCCTTGAGCTGCAGCCCAGAGGTCACTGAAGCCAATGTTGATAGCACAGGAGAACCTCCTCTTGTACACTACTGCAAGCATTGAGCATAGTTGCCCATCCTTATGCATGTGTCCATCAAGCCCTCCACTATCCTTCCAACTCATTTTTCAGCTGCTTGACTGTGCTCACACATTCATTGATGCTCTCTTCCATGTGGGAGGTGTGCTTGACTACAGTGCTGATAGCCCTACCTGGCGGGTTCAAAATGCCAGGGTACGCAAGGTGCAGCCACAAGTTGAGACACTGCAGGTGAAGGCTATGTAAGTTGGGTGCATATTCCAGGAGGCACACATGAACCACAGTACCTGTGCTGTGCTCCAGTCTTGGTGCACTTGGAACTCCTTGAGGTCTTTCATCTCTCCAGTAATGTTGGTCTCATGACTGTGCCAGAGCCCTGTAACAAATGACCCAGGCATCTGAATCTGCAGCTCTACATATGCCTGAATAACCTCAGGCAGATTATCAGGGGCATTGTCTGGGCCCCAGTTGGGGTCTTGGTGGTGCAGAATAGCTGTTAGCTGGCTTCAAGGGCAAGAGCCAGGCAGATGAAGCAGAAGGTGGTCTTTAAATCAATGCAAGGAGCTAGCCCAGGAGTGTGTTGCATACGCATACCTTGGTGGGGGGGCAATGGCTGGCAGGTTTTGATGGTGAACCCTTCTTTGAAATGCATTATTTGGCCATTTCTGTACCATATGATGCATATGAGGCTTGGAAAACCATTCCACTGTATAGAGCTTGGCTAGCAGAGTCTAATGATATATATATCAACATTTATTGGTAATCAGGGTACCTCCTAAAACATGATTTTGTGTACTTTTGTATAACTCTATTGCAACTGTTGATTATCTGCTGTGAAAGTCAAGCATTGACTAAATTGATGACTTCATATTGGAATATGATCTTACACATCGGAATACACACATTAGAAAAGAGACAATGTGAATAGCATCTGAATTGGCAGAATTGTGGGCTT